AATGGAGTGGAGAAAAATAAAATAAGAGGGAATAATCTCAGAGAGGTAAAAAAAAACTTCCAAGTACTGCCCTACTTGCTATTATTACGTGGTTTTCCATTTATTTATTTATAAAGTGGACGCAAAAAAAAATCCCACCCCAAACTGTTTTGTTTTGTATCGACTCTTCGGCTATACTCGAGGCAATCTCAGATTTCTCATCTCATCATTAAAAATAAATATTAATTCTCCAAACAGCATTATTCAACTTACCCATTCGGCCATTAAAATAGTCTCAACGTTGATGGGAAAGTATTCTCCACCGACAATAAAGAGTTAAAATTCAAATGACTCATAAAATACCTCCGACTTCCACCAATTTTGTGAATACAAAATAGAAAACCACTCAAAACGCCCTTTATAACCCCCCAATCATGGGGGACTCGGAATTTTTCAGAAACTCCTTCAACATTTTGCTTACTTTATTTGGCACCATAAATTTTTTTTTTTTCTGAGAGTTGGAAACGCCACTGGCAGGCCGCACCATAAAAGCGAAAGTCGGTAGACTACAGTGGCCCAGGAAAAAGAGAAAACCAGTGATTTTACAATAGACCCATCACCCAGGAGCCACGGAGATGAGTGAGTCCAGATTCCAAGGCCACCAGCAGACATTGGGTGAGAAAAAGAATGAAAAAAAGTACAAAATGTGAGGGAAACCGTGAGTTTTATTGGTGCTTTTAGGGGTTTGGTGCGATGCGGAAGCTACCGAAAAACCGCCGCATCTCAGCCCCCCGTCATAAAAAGTGTCCTAGGAAGAGCAACGGGACAATTAGGACTCGCCGAAAATGATGAAACATTGTGAAAAAGAGTTATCACCCACCGGATATGGGTTTATATAGTTATAATGTGCCATAATGCACTTTGCCGTTGGGTCTCCCCAGCCATATGGCGTGCAAATACTTTATGCCGGAGGTACATAACATCTCCCCTATATATTTTTTTTTTTTCCCCTCCCAACCCTTCGTCTACCCATCATTTATGACAAAACCTGCCTCGGCGCAACTAAAGCATTTTTTTACGATTGTATATGACGCCGTGCGCCCTTGTCCCACGATCGTTACTCACATTTCAACCCTCATTGCATCAATAACACTGCTATAGAATACACACCTTTAAGGCTCACGATCAATGTAATCATATACGAACATTAGAGCCAGTGTTAAAGGTGAGAGTGACAATGTGACTGAAGAATGGACCAGGGGGAAATGATAGAACATTGACACCAGTCGCACCCAGTTATTTACTGGATTCGTTGCGGTGTCGATAGAAAAATCGTTGCAGTCGTTTATCATCGGGAAGTATAAAAAAAAACTATTCTACTTCTAATAGATTTTTCAATGACGAACGTAGAGAGAATTGACGTCCCGAGGGGAATAGTACGCTCTAAATATTTCGTGATGCATTTCGGAGGTCAACTAATATTATTTTCATCAATATTTCGATTTATAGGCTAAATTTATTTTACCTGATGGTAATCGTCATTGAGTGGTGCAGATTAGCTAGGTACTGAGTAATCTCGATTTGTCAATTGACAACCCATCCAGTCGTCCAAATTCTAGATATTAATGTCACCGATTTCTGACCTACTTTTATTTCTGTTTAATGTACTATTGCGGGGATTATTATTCGGACTGGTTCAATCTCATTACTCCATTGACTGTTTGCTGATGTTTGTATTTAATATTGAAATGCTAATTTAAATGGCGAACAGAAATTTGAAAAACTGCGAGAAACGGTGCCTCGGGATGATCTCCAATAAAAAAATCCACTCCACGTGTTAAATTGTAAACACCTAAAGGGATTGATATACGCTGTATCCAGTACTCGCGAGTCCAGATAGGAAGCTTTTAGGCAACCCCCAAAGCCCCCACCGACTATTTCCAAAATAGTTGCCAGTAACCGATAGAATCGAGTTGGCAAACTCGGCCGAAGCCCCCGGTACCTATATTCCGGTTGTATTGTAGCTTTCCTACCTTGCTACAATACATAGCCAAACCCCCTTTCACCCCCGAATGCTATCCGGCGAATCCTATGTGGCCCTCTAGGTTCAGGCAACTTTGGCTGACGTTCACTAACTCCTGCCGGCGGCGCATCACGTTTTCGCGGAAGACCTCGATTAGATTCTCTGTTGGATGAGGGTGGATGGGGGTGGCATCGTTTATTGCCACCAGAGTTACCCTGTACTGAATCCCTCTTTCACTCTTTCAGCCTAGTATTTCAGCCCTCTCCTCCTGGTCTGATTGATTGAGACGGAGGGCTTTTGCGCGCGTGGTTTTATCGAAACAGTTCTCGCCCTCGAGACACGTGTGCACCGTCTCAAACATTTTCCTCATCCTCAATCCTGAAACCCTTCGGGCTGGGTATTGCCAAGTTGGCAATCGATGAAATTGCAATACTCGTTGGGATCGATGTACTTTCGCAATACCCTTTTCACTCTTGTTACGGAATCCCTTTTTCCAATGGGGTTTTGCCGACGTGTGTTGGGTTTCACCGGTAAACAACGATTCTTGAAATACGTTTAGCATCGGCGAGAGGGATTTCTTCGGAGGTCTTCGGTGGCATGTCACATCATTTATAAAGGACTGTCAAGGTACGAAATAACGATTTGTTTGGGGTTCAGAAGGACTGCGAGTGGAGGCGACGGGCGCGAATTTATTGAGTTCATTTGCCGATTTATACCATCTGCTGGATTGAAAATATTATTTGGGAATTGAAGTTAAAAATTCGTTGAAATTCATTGAAATAGTAAAACGTAGTCAACGTAACGGAAAATTAGAAGGTTAAAAAGTAAAAAGAGAAATGGAGGTATCGATCTCATTATGCTATCGTTCAAAAATACATTTCACATGCAACTGAATTGGAAATTCTTGTCATCGTCTATTTACCTCGGCAACCTGTCAGAATGATGTTATTTAACTGCGAACAAACTTTCAACAAATGGCCCTCGACGGATAATTCGACACTCAACATGTGCAGAATTAACTCATGATATTTTGAATTCAAACCGAACTCGACGGTGAGCTATTGGACCATCAACAAACACCAACAGACTTTACAAACCATTATTTTTCGATTACAAGATTAAAATCAGACGATTACACTCCATAGAAACTTCTCAACTGAATTTAAATCCGATCCACTCAACTCGCATTTGTAATTTCAGCTTTTCGGTTTTTCTTGTTTTCAATTCCATCGACCCGACAAAGTCTAAATTTCATCGTCTGCATTTCCCCGTCCCCGAAAAATCAATTCCATCACCAATTTTTTTTCCAGTAGAATGTCCAGAAGCACTCAGCTATATTGAGAGAATAATGCCAGTCTCATTATTCCACATCATCAGCCATTTCTGAAATCCTAGAGTCGACGTCTTATCGAGCAATAAACAACCCCCAAAAACTGTCACCGAAAATCCTTCACGAAATACTCGGCTACATTGAAACTCAATTACGATCACGTGGTGTACACGTGTCGGGGATTGTAACCCAGCTAGGACCAGGGGTAGAGGCACTGAGTGCAGAGAAAAAAAAAATCTTCCCCTCGCCCCGGCGATTATTAAAGTACTCTAAGGCGTTTTCCATTACCGCGATTCACCGAGAATAAATGCCGTTCTCTTGATGGTTTACGGTGTATAAAGCCCCCGATACTTATACACAGCGGGACGATTTTGGCCTCTGCACGAGGAACCGCACACCAGGAGGGTGAGAATATCGTGATAAATTCCACGTGATCTTTGATAATCGCTCCCGAGGGAGTAATCCACCGCCGAAAACGCTTTTTTGATTCACCTCTTTTTTTACGGGACCCAACAGTCTATTTTATCGTGATCCCCTCATTTGTTCACACCCCCTAGATGACTCGTCATTACGAAATACATTCAATTTTCTAAATGGCACTCGGCTAAAATCTTTGGCCATCGAAAAATACGACACGGGAAAATTTGTTTTACGACTATGGTTGGAGCTCTCTTCCAAAACTTTCCGCGCCCTGTCCATCAGAGAAAGAAACAAGTGAATATTTTCATCATCCTGGGCAAACCCAACTTTGCAAACTGAATCAGTCACATCAAAGGAACAAACTTTTCACAATATCACAGAGTTCCGGGGAACTACACCAAAATTCTCATGTTACACAACCCCTAATGCCATAAAACGTCAACAACAGATTCATATTTTCGCGCTTTTCTGGAAGACCGGAAAAACACCTAGAACCCATAGGAAAAATCGTAGACAGTATTTGTTACACGTTTTTGTGGGTGTTCCGGAGGAAGAGGGAAGAGTCGAGAGAAAAATGGGTGGTGAGTTTGATAAATACTTGCCTCGGGGTTTGATCTAGAATTTTCGGGGTAGGATAGTGACTTTCGTAAATGATTTATCCCAAGAACGTCAGAAACTGAAAAAAAAAATAATAAAAATACCCTACCTTTTTTGTTGTCACATATTTATTCCTAACAAATTTAAAACAACTGCCCTCCCCTCTCTGAATTTCATTAAATTCACATACCATTTAGTCTTTTTACAGATCGACGGAAGCCACAATTTCTCACTGCTGGTGCCTCTTTCAGGGGGTAAGAGTCTCACTTCCCCTTTATCCACCCCTCGCCAGGAGGGTAATACGTGCCGATGCAAAGGGGTTGATTTCTCGTGGGTCTTGGGTTGAAAGGGGGTTGAGAGACGCATAGGAATGGCGTAGGATGCTCCTGGCCACAGGAAGGGTGAAAAAAGTGCGAGGAGTACGCGTGCAGGGTTTTCAGACAGCTGAAGCGTGTGGATTCGGATTTTGAGTGGCAAAAGGGTGCCGGTGAGGTTGGGAGGGGGCGAGTGGAAAGGGAAAAGAAGAGGGAGAAATGAGAGGGAAGGGCCGCGAGAGAGGGGATGAATGCACATAAACCAGGAGTGGTGGGGTCGAGGGCGATCAAGGAGAGGGGGAAGCCCAGCAGAAGGCAGTCGTGTCCCGGTCTCAGGTCGCGTCGGGCTGTTTCAGTTTTCAGGCGAGTGCCGTACCGCGCGGATGCTTCGTCGATCTTAAACAATATCAACGTGCAACTATTTTTGTTTATGAAATAAACGTCTTAGCGTCAGTTTAACCCGAACATTTCTCCCGGTTACAGTGAAATAGAGAAGTTTGATTCGACACCTTTTGGAGGATTTCTAGTATCTTTTTTTTTCTCTCTCGAGAAACTCTGTCCTAGTTTTCGGCAAGCTTTCCGGGTGTTTCGAGGGACTGCACATTTTTACTGTCGCGAGAGTCGATACGGGAGGGGTCTCTCGCCTCTGGAAAATTTATCGTTGGATTTATCTGGGAGAGTAACCGTGTGGATATTTTTGGGGGATTTTTTTCGAGTGACCTCAATTCGTAAGGTGATAAGTGACAGTGACAGTGGATTGATTCAGTGAATGTGGTTTTAGTTTTATGGTTTTATGTTGATAACTGGTGGATGGTATACGGATTATTTTAGTGGCGATTTCGATCGAAACGTTGGACTTCTTCTGCTGGATCGTCTGGAGAATTGAAGCTTTCTTCCAAGTGGTGAGTTTTTTGTTTTTCATTTTTATTTGTGCTCCTTTTCTCGATTTTATTACCCTTGATGATATTGCGGTGTATTTTCGGTGCTGTGTGCACACTGCGTGGGGCTACGACCTTGAGAGTGGGGGAAGCGATGCGTGTAGTTGGGTTTGAAAAACAAATGAACGTCGAGTCGTCCTTCAGGCGAAATCTCCCTCGATTCGAGTCCTTAAAGATGAGAAAGAGACTTTTGTGTGGACGCCATTCATCTCGAATTCTTTTTCTCCAACGATGTCTGATCGAAATTTTTCACGTGTCACTTTCAAAACATGTATCGTGCATTTTCTTTATTTTCCCGTTGGTTGTTGCTTGCGTGATGGAAATCGATAATTCGTCAATGCCCCCCTGTGTTGTCAGGTCTTTTGATTTCTCTATTCATGACTCAAAAAAAAAATTGGTCACTTGTGGTGGGGTAATGAATGGCGTGACACGCGATCGAGAATTAAAAGGGATGAAAGGATGTTTGATTTCTCATTCTCCCGTGAAAAATCCATCAACAGTCGAATTCAGATGGTAATCGAGTTGGTGCGATGAAAATTCATTTTCCAATGGGTCTTTCATTGCTCTGGATTTATGATGGAAGGATCCAATGGTTCGAATACTGTCATTGCATCGGTTATTTCCAGTTGGAGGCTTTTTCGTTGTTCTGAGGAGTTAGCAATCATTAAATTAAATTTCCCTCGTGCATTACTTTGATATGTTCTGGGTGTTTATGAAAGACCGATGAAAATGGCAGTGACATTAACCGAGGAATTGACACTACCTATTGCGAATGACAATGAGTATGACAATGGAATAGCAAGTTGTTGAAGAGTTTTTCCACGTGCAGCTCGTTTCCTCCCTTAATTTTTCTATTCCCATCTGTTCTTCTTTACGATGATGCACGCGTAAACGGTATACAATCGGAAGCCGTCTTTCACGTGAACCGGTATATCGTTACCCCATCCTTCAATAATCCCCAGCCCATAATACACGCTTTCGCCAGAGTGAGATAGAGGTACCGAACGTGCTCGGGAAACCGGTAAATCTACTCGTTCTTTCTCTCAATATCCTCGGAATCATTGCCAATGTCGGCATCGTAAATACTCGTCAGATCGGCCCATCATCTACGGGGAATCATCATCTCTGATGGCAAAACACATCCGGAGAATGATTTTTCACGATACACATCGATATCGTCGTTTTTTTTTCGTTGACGATGTTTATCTAAAATCCCTCGTAGGAAAAAAATGGAAGAGGCGAAGTTTTCGCGAAATATCTCGCAATCTGATTGAGAAGGGAAAATTTTCGTGAATATCTTTTTTGCAGAACTCATTCCGCTCTATAAATTAGCTTCTCAGGAAAATTTGGGTATTTATCGCGGATTTTGAGATATCATTCATTTCTGTAGAGGCTGTCGCGATTTTTTTTTAATTGCAGGGAAATTGGTTTCGGGTTTCGAATTTTTCTTCAGGTTGAAACAGTTTAATTTGTTAAAAATAGGTTAATGTCTTAGAAGTGTGATTTCCTTTGGATGTATATAAATCATGAGGGGAGCAGAGAAAATACAGCAATTGTTGATGTTTACATTGACTGTTTGTCACTCTGAGATTTCGAAAATAGGAATTCACGGTAGCACGTGCCCCGAGATGTCCCAGGGGGGGTTATTTAGTGTTCGGCAGTGTCAATTTATTGTCAAAAATTTAGGATGTTTCTGGGGGAATCACCACTGACCCCTCCATATCGTCGGACCAAATGGAATTACTGGCAATCGCGTTAAGACTGGGGAGCGGGAAAAGAAATGGACCGCAGCAGTTCTGGGGTATAAATTACCGGGGGTGGATAATGAATAAAGGGAAAATCTGGAATACACACTCCAGCATTCAGGGCTTATTCCTCGGGTACAAGAGATATGAGACTATTCAGAGGTGAGGGATGGGAGCTATTATTTTTCTGAATTTCATAAAGTTTTCAAAATTTTATACAAATTCTCAGCGAATCCATTTTATTAGTGAAAAACCAATTATTCTCGTGATTTTTCGATGAAAATTCTGCCTACTATTCCATCTATTTTTTAAATATCAAAAATTATGGAGCAATGAAATATCACAAATTGCCGAAATATCCACGATTCCTTGATCAATAAATTGAAACCCGAATTTTCAATAGCATTTTTCATTTTTCACAAAAATTACAGCAAAATAATCAATAAAATGCCAGTCCTGACGAATAAAACACGAATAACACCACCAAATTGAATTAAAATCCCCAACCGTTGAGATAAATAAATGCAGGTCAGAGTGAAATAAAAATAGAAAACCCTCTCCCGAAAAAAAAATACCCCATTGAATAGCAAAGAGGGATAACGTAAACTCGCCGCGAAAGAAAAAATAAATGAAAATAAATAAAAGAAAGCGGGGGAAAAAAAAACGTGTGGACCCGTTCAACTTTTCCCCGAAGATACTGTGGCAAGTTTCGCACCGTCGAAAGGACGCAATTTCCATAAGTTGAAAAATGGCGCCTCCACAAAGTGAGAAAAGATTGTCGTCGGGGACGTTGTGTCGCGTCGTACGTCCTGGTCGGTGTTGTATCCCAGGGTATACTCCGGAGATAGCGAGGTAAAGGGATATCCAAAGAGCTCTCTGAGTCTAAGCCATCGTACATTAGCCCCCGGTTGCCGCTGGAAAGAGGTGCAACCACGTAATCTTCCCTCTTCCTCTCTTGCCGCCCTCTTGTTTCTACCTCTCAAGTTTTGCGCCGTCTCGTTTATATCTCCTTCAAGCTGATCCAGAACGCTACCGTTGCCCTTTCCCCTCCTCTTCCTCCTTTTCCTCCTCACCTCCTCATCATCCTCATCCTCCCCCGCCTTCCCTGTCTCCCCCTTCTCCTCACTTCCGCGAAACCCACGGAATTCGCTCGGTTCGCTTTACTTCGGACCTCGCGCCGAAGAAAAAAGAGAGAATCGGTGAAGTAAAAAAAAGAAAAGAAGCGGAGTGAAATAAATATAAAGGAAACAAATTCTAAAAAGCACCCGGGAACGTCCCTCCGGCATTATCCCACCATTGTGTCCCCGCGTTTCAACAAATCGTTGATGCACAACCAATTACGCGCCCTCCACTCTTTTCAACTCGTCTCGCACGTACTGCTGTCACTAATATCCACCCAATCGGTCTATGAATTAATGATATATCTCGGATAATAATTAGTTGAATGTGGCGAGTGCATTCGTTAACGATCAAACGTGCGGTTGTCACGAGAGACGCGTGGGGGCGCGACACCAATTAACATTGCGATCAGGGTACTGAGAGTTTGCGGAATTTCTGGCATTACTTGCTCGATTTTTTAGGGGTGGAAATATCAGATGTTTATTTTTACGCGGTGGGTGTTGTCGGGAAATTTTTTAGGATTTGGGGTTACTGGTTTTTTGGACTTTGTCCGGTCATTTTTTTTTGGGTGAAAAAAAAAACGGAAAATTCAATTTCTCGTCCGCATTGTTACGGTGTCGATTTTCCTGTACGTGCGGGGGATCACAATTGCGTGTTGAAGTGGTGGATACTTTGAAAACTAAAATTGCGAGGCGAAAAACAAGTAAACGGGGTGTTTGGACAGTTAGGGATATGGCATTGATGGCTTGCCACGCGTATTAATTGCCGATGAATTTAATTGTCTAGAAAGCAACGACAGATAATTATTTCGCGGTTTCGGAAGTCTCAAATCAATATTTCGATCTTGGAATAAATTATTAACCGGATATAGGGGTCAACCGCCGATTTCGTCCCACCAAATGTCAAACGTCAAATGTCTGTCGGAAAACTGAAATTATGGGATAAAAAAAAAACTGGCTACCGTCCCACGCGTTAATTGAAGTATAAATTGCCCGTTGGCGTGCGAATACTTTTGTTCCTTTCGGGGTGTATGAAATTCTAGTGACTAGGTCCAGCCATAAACAGCCGAAGGTTAGATTCCCCGTCTGAATCTCGCTCTCTGTAATTTCGAGTCCTCTCGATTTAAATCCCCCTTTTTCTCCAGATATTTATTGCGAATGGAAATCGAGCGGAATTGTCGAGGTAAAGGAGCACCAGAGAGACGAGAGCCCCGTAATTTTTGAAGGGACGAATGGATTAAGTTCACTCTGAAAAAATTATCATCTCCACAGTGGTACCACAGCCTCCGCATTATCATGAATTTTCGTTGACTCGAGACAGTGAAATTCAACGGGTGTTACACCCGAAATTTCGAATTGCTAATTTTTTGAATTGGGGATTTGTTGCGGCATATGCCGCCCACCGAATTCAAATGATCGCGCGTTTTCCGACGATTTTTCGTATCACATCTCAATGTTTTATTCAATTTCATCCGAGGGTTTGGGGGGAATTTTAAAATTATTGTTTCTCTAAAATTTCTGGAAATTGGTCGATCAAAAATCCAGGATAAATTCAGGATAAATTCAGGACAAATTCAGGACAATTTTTTCGCTCCCGTAGTGGATGAGCATCTCTCATTGATGAACTTCTAGCAGACAATCTCCGTGTTCGTGGCTCTTGATTTGTGGACACTCGTGTCTCATGTCGTTTCCCCACCCTGGATGAGGGGTATGACTATAGATTCTCCTGCCCAATGACGCGAGATCCTCGAGTCAAACGTTGATGGAGCCTCTCTGCATTTCCCTGTGCAACGACATGAATGCACACTCGTGCTGCCCAAGTGTTCAACCCCGTTCTGCCCCCCCGCGTTTCTCATTTACCCACCCCATCACCCTTTATCAAGCCAAGAACCTCCGCAGACATACCCCGGGTTAAGCAATATACAACACACATACACCATGTTTATACCCCTCTTGTGTACATACCCTTGAATAAGGCACAATGGTAGCTTTGCAAATCGGCGAACCACGATTATCGGGTAATTTCATACATCCCAACAATTGGATAAAATTGTTCTTAATGCGATAGACATGCACCGCGGAGATAATTCACGGAATGTTA